CGGCCTCTCAGGCTCAGCTTGCAGCGCGCGCTCGGGGCCCTCGGGTCTCCCGGGGTCATCGGCCTGCCAGCCCAGGTTAGGGAGCTGCAGGACAGCTTCGAGGTGGTGGTGGGTGGCAAGGGTAGGGCGGGGAAACTGGACGGTGGTGAGTTGGAGGAGGAGGGGCAAGGAAGGCGAGAGGGAGGGGGTGAGGAGGCTGGCGAAGAGCGGGCTTCATTGGTGAAGCGGTTGGTGTCCTGCCCCCACTTCATCCCGTTTTTCCAGCACGAGCAAGCCCAAAGAGGCAGCTGGTGTTGTTGGGGACTGAGGAGTTAGCTGCTCGGGGAGGAAGAAGTGTGTGTCACGGTGTGTCACTGTGTGCATCCTTGTGAGAGCTGTTCTTGGGCAGAGCTCAGAGGGGCACCGGCTAGAGGCTTTCTGGAATCTAGAGGGTTTGGGATGCAAGCTGGGGCTGTTGGTGGAGTTGGAGGTGGTTACATGGATCAAAAAGGATGTGGGCTCTGTAGTGCACATGCACACCGCTTTCCTCCTGGAACACATGTGCACTCATGATGGAGATATACACAATTTCTACACTACAGCTCTTAGTTTTTCTACACACACTACAGCTCTTAGTCCTTTTCTTCACCACATATAGAAACCTCGGGAAAGCACACACCACCCAACAGTCCCCTTGGCTTATTCCTTAATTACAGGAACACACACACACAGCTCTTTGGAGCCTGGAGGTGGGCAATCAGCCTCCGGGAAATTTTCCCTCCTGGGGCAACTTCATCCTTCCTGGAGCCCTGAAGATTCCTGGGTCCCCATAAAAGGGCTCACAAATACATGAAGTGCATTTTCTTTATAGTCCATTTATTGTATTTTTCTGTCAGCTCAGGAAGCAGGAGTAGGGGGCAGGCACAAACACAGTGTAAGCAGTGAAGCACCTGGCAGCAATTGGGTGATCTTTCTGGAAGAGGCAAGCTGGAAAGAAAAGAGAGAAAATGGGAAAGGAGTTGGGACCCCAGTGGGGCACTGAGGAAGAAAAGTGTAACAGGCAGGGGAAGCTAAGAATCTTGAGAGGAACAGATCAAGAAGAGCTGGGAGAAAAATATTTACAACCCCAATTTCCCTGAGTCCTGAATGGCTTGGGGAAGGAGGAAAGTGGGCACAAAGCAGGGGCATTATCCTAGCATCATTACCTTTTGCGGGGGGTGGGGTCCCTAAAGGACGCCTGCAAACGTCACCATCCTGGTTCTGCACAGGGTAAAGTGGCAGATCTCCAAGCATGTATGTGTTCTAAGAGAACTGGAGGTTTTGTCCTTTGGTAAAAGACTTCCATCAACAGCAGTGATAAAGTAGGGATTTGAAGCAAGAGGCCCTCCTCCATCCTCCTGAAATCTGGAGACAGGCCCATCTTGTGGGTTATGTGCTCCTGTGCATCCAAAGGTGCATATTGGATGCCTGTGACTAGCTGATCCAGAGATCTGTGTGTTATTCATCTCTGTACTACCTAGTAGCAGTGACTCTAGGGATCAGGAGCCCTGGGTTAGGGTACTTGCTAGCTGTGTGACCTTGTATAGTATTACATGCATGTGCCACAGTACACATGTGGAAAGCAGAGGACAACTTGCAAGAATCAGCTCTTTCCCACCATCAGGGATTGAACTCAAGTCATCAGGCTTGGTGGCAAGAACTTTTACCCCCAAGGCATCTTGCCACCCCTCTTGAAGATTTTTTTCTTGAAGGTCTCCCTATAGTCCCAGCTGGTCTGGAACTCACTATGTAGGCCAGGCTAGCCTCAGTCTCACAGAGATGTACCTGCCTCTGCTGGAATTAAAGGCGTGAGCCATCATGTCCAGTTTCTTGGAGGATTTTTGTAAGGGTTGAATGAACAGGATGTGAAACTGGTTTATAAATTAAGATGTGGTGCTTAAGTCTGTGGCTGTGTGCAGGGGTATGTGGCCCGGGTGTGCACTGGCCAGACCGTGAGTCTGGTCTTGTCACACCAGAAAAGTAAGAGGCAGGCAGCATGGGCCGTTGAGACTGGCTGTGGCAGTCTTTGGATCTGTATCTGTCCTTTTTTGTGTTCTTTTGTTGTTTTTTGTTTGTTTTTGAGACAGAGTCTCACTATATAGCCCCAGCTGGCCTGAAACTCAATATGTAGATCAGGCTGGCCTAGAATTATCAGAGATCTGCCTGCTTCTGCCTCCTGAGTGCTGGGATTAAAGGCCTGTGCCACCATGTCTGACTCTGTATCTGTCCTTGAATGGCCATGTGATCTGGGTGAGCTCTCACCCTCTTTGGTCCCAGGGTCCTCTGTAACCTGTGCTGTGTGTTTTCAGACACCAACCCCCGCCCCCACCTCCCCATGCCAGGCAGAGCTGGTTCTAAGCACTACCTTGAGATCTAAACAGATCACTAAAGTGAGAGACAGGAGAATAATCAGAGAAGGGCTCAGATTTTGATGAAGAGGAAGCTGGGAAGAATAAATGGTGTGTTGGAGCATCTAAAAAGTCTAGAGCAAGCTCTACTGGTGGGCTTGGGAACAGAAGGCAAGAAACAGTGGCCAGTTGTGGGAGAGGAGAGCAGGATGAGGCCAGAGGCACTGGACTCTGCTACATTCATCTGGTCAGCAGACCTCAGCTGACAGGAAACACAGTTGGTGGGCTGCAGATTCGGCTTAGGGCTCAAATAAGATTTTGAGTCTTCTGTAGCCGGCTAGAGGAAGGAAGAATAAGGGGAACAAGTCTGTTTTCCTAACCCCTCAGTATTCTAGCGTTTCCATGGCTCCTGGTTCCCACTTTTCTCATGTCTCTGGACATGGCTGCAGTGGCCATGCAGAGATATCACATGCCCGCTGGCCCTTTACCTCTGCTTTTGCCAACCCCTTCCCCAGGACCTTTTCCACTCCCTCACCTCTCCATCACCTCTTGACCCCTATCTCCTTGTTCTTCCCTGCACTCTACTCCCTTCTTAACCCTTTCCTCTTGTCTCCCTCACCCCTTTCCTCCTCACCCCTTTCCTCTCCTCCCTCCCTCCCTCCCTCCTTCCCTCCCTCCCTCAGATCCTTACTGGGGGCACTGGCAGGTCTTCTTCTCACTGAGTAGCCTCTTGATCTGAGACATCCGTTCTGCCTGGCGCTGCCCAGGGACAAGGAAGGGAGTTGTGAGAGTCCTAGGCCTCCAGGAGGGAAGTGCCCCTTGGATGGGGGAGAGGGGGAAGCTGGGAGAGAAGCGTTTACTGTGGCTGAAGCCACCTGTCCTGTCAATGACTCTCTGCTCCTTCCTGTGCCTCCCTACAGATGGGATCAAGGGCAAGGCCTGGTCTGCAGTGAGGAACCTCATGGACTTGGCAGAGCTGAACCAGAAGCCAGTCACACATGCAAGGCATTCTTGTACCAGCACCAGAGTACAAGGCACTGTGCTTGAGTTGCCCAATGGGAGATATGGTGGAGGCTTGCTTACCCGTTGGTGCCGGCACTTGACACAGCAGAGGATGCAGAGCCCAGAGAAGACTAGAAAGCCAACGGTGCCCCCCAGCACAGCAGCCAGGAACATTGGCTGGTCCTGGCTCAACCCTCTGGGTAAAACTGCAAGACAGAGAGAGATGGGGGTACTTAGCTGGGGGTGCATCTCTAGTGGAGTGCTTGCCTAACACATGTGAGGCCCAGGGTTCCATTCCCATACTGCCAAGAAAGAGAGGCACTTAGTGCCTCCATCCAGGGAATCTTAGTGTGGCCCTAGGTCTGAGAGAGAGAAGCGGGGTACACATGACTTTTAAAAGCCAACAGGCCTTGAGGGTGCAGAACTGGAGAGGGAGTTTGGTTTTCTATTATAGGGTTCTCTAGAAAGCTAGAAACAGTGGCCCGTATGCCGTGTGTATGTGTGTGTGCGCGCGCACGTGTGTGTGTGTGTGTGTGTGTGTGTGTGCTCACGCGTGTGCATGTGCGCGCACACCTGGGTTTGGAGGGAAGTCAAGGAGGGTGGTAGCCCTTCAACAAGAAGGCTCCATTCTTAGACTGGATGGAGGAGGGAACTTAGAGAATACAAGTGGAAATCTAGATCCCAGGACCACACCTATCTCATCACCACTATCTCTGGGTCACCATACATAATTTCTTTACCTCAGAGGAGCTGGGAATCTGAGACTCTAGGTGGACTCCGCTAATCCCTGGAAAGGTCCTACAGTTGAAGAGGCCAAGGCCTTAGAACTAGAATCCTTACCCTCGACTTTGGCGTCCACCCTGACCTTGTCTTCTTCACTCAGTTCACAATACCATGTCCCCGCTTCAGGGGCCTGCACTTGAACCACTTTCTTCTGCTTGGAGATCTTGACCTGGTCCTTCAGCTTCAAAGCCAGTTTCATCTTGGGGGAGGTGGGTCCCAATACCTCACAAATCAAAGTGTCCTGAGAGTATTTTACTGCAGAGAGAGAAGGGACTGAGACTCAGGGTCCGTCCTTCAGGATTCCAGCACTGTCATACTGTAAGTGAGGTGATTTGGTAGAATGATGAAAATGATCCTTTATGTGAGTGGCCTTGTTGCTTCTTAGAACATGTTTTCGTGTCATTATTGGGGAGAAAACACAGCTGGGAGGGGTGGCAATGTTCTTGGCTTTGAATCCCAGTCAGCTCTACAGCTTACTAGTGGTGTATCCCTGGGCAAATTCCTTAACAGTTGAACCCCAGACAATAACAAAATGCATGAATGCCTGAAAAGTGTTTGAATGGGGCCTGGTGTGTCCTAAGCATCAAGGGTTAGCCATTATTGTTATTTGTGGAGCTGATATGATCAGATGATAAGGATGCAAAGAACTCAATGTCTGCTTGGTATTATCACCATTGCTAGCATACAAAGAACAGTTTGTTCCATATAAAAAAGAAGAGAAAGTAGCCGAGCATGGTGGTGTCTGCCTTTAATCCCAGCACTCGAAGGCAGAGGCAGGTGGAGCTCTGTGAGATGGAAGCCAGCCTGGTCTACATAGAGAGTTCTAGGCCAGCTGGGGCAATAGGAAGACTCTGCCTCAAAACAAACAAACAAAAAGACGAGAAAGCTGATCCACAGCAGCAAGGGGGCTTAGCCAGGGTCACAGAGGATCAGGCAGGACAACTAGACCCTGGTTGTCAGGCCAAGCCTCAGTGGAGTCAGTCTTATGCCAGGTTATGGATGTTGGGGAAGGATGTATAAGTATCAGCCTAATTCAAAGGCTGGGTATAGCTCAGTAGAAGAGCTTGTGCTCAGCGTGCGTGAGGCTCTGGTTTCTGCTCCCAGCTACAACAACAAAAAAAGGAGCAAAACCAACCAGCTGAAAACCCAGAAGGGCCCTTCGTCACTTCAACCAGTCAATCGGGACCTAAACATTCCCTTTTGGGACCTGGCCAGCCCCGGTAAGCCCTGGACCATCCCTTCACCTTCTACCTCAGCCTGCCCCTTCTCAGCTCACTCCTTACCTGTCACCACCACCAGGTTCACTTTATGATGAAGTGTTCCTTTGGCAAGCATCAGAGTCAGGTTTCCAGAACCAGCATAACGAGACAAGGCCTGGGATAGCTTGAGGCGGAGTGGAAGCATTTCAGCCAGCTCGAACTTGGGGTCATGGGGAGACATTTGCACAGACACCTTCTTGTTCTCCACGGAGAAGGTAGTCAAGGACTGGAGGGAAGATGGCTTCTCTGCCTGCCACTTAATCTCTCCACTCAGGTTTTCATCACCAATGTTAAGTGGGACAGAGAACTCTGCTGGCTTCCCCTCCTCCTTATAGTCTGTGGTAGAGGTCTTTTGGAAACCTGGAGAGGGGAAGGGAGGAGAGTGACTCTGGGTGAGGTAGGAGGAGGAAGATGAGAGGGTACAGTGTGGTGCAAGCATGTGGAGAGGGAACAAAGTAATGAGAAGGGGACCAACTGTGTCCACACACCAACATTGCTGTTTCTCTCTCCCCGTGACCCCTGGAGCCCAGAAGCTATTTGGCCTTTGTTAATCATCCTTCACAGAGTAAGAGCCAACACTAAAACAGGGCTTACTGTGTGCCAGGCACTGGGCTATGTGCTGCACACCTTTTAATTTTCATCATGATGCTAGAAGGTAGATACTGTCACAGCATCATCCCCATTTTACAGATACAGAAACAAAGACAAGAGCACATGGCTGTGACAGAGTCAGGATTTAAATCAGTTCATGCACTAAATTGCCACACACCAGGTCTGGGGTGAGACCTGTGTTCTGGGCTCCTGGTCTCCCCATGGCGCCTAGCTCAGCATATAAAGTTGTAATACAGGATGTCAACAGGATTGGCTTGCTGAAGTTAGTGTCCCTGAGTAAATGGATTTACCAACTTAGTAGTGGTGGGGCAACAAGGAAAACAGATGCCATACCACTCCCCCAGCCAAGACTCTGGGGTCTCTCGCATCCTCCTTTCCCACCCCTTCCTCTATGTCCATTACCCTGATGGATGACTATCATGGGCTCCATGAGGAAGAAGGGCCCAGTATGTCCCACAGGACAGACCTTAGAGAAGTGTCTGGACCCAGTCGCTACCTGACCCCCAGCAGGCTCAGGAGCCAGCATGAGAGCAGAGGGAGGCCTGGGAGTTCCTGAGCAGGAAGGAAGCTGCAGGGAGTGGAACGCCTCTTACCCATCACCAAGATCGCATTGTTGAACACCAGACTCTTCTGGTCCACTGTGAGGGTGCAGGTCCAGGAGCCACTGTCCTGAATCCCCAGTGAGGGCACTAAGAAGTCCTTGGTTACCTTGAAATTTCTGTTCTCTGGACCCTTGCATTCCATTGGGGATTTAACACCAGCTGGGCCCTCCAAAGTCAGGGTCAGACTTTGCCCCTGCAGCAGGTGGGTATCAGGATGGACAGTCACTGTGGAAGGAGTAGGTCACCTGTGTCACACACCATCCTCAAGGACAAGGGAAAAGGAGAAGAAACCAGGCGTCTTTCCATTGTTCCCTCCCAACATGGTCTTCCGCCCTAATAACCAACTGCCCATTTCCAGCACCACGCAAGGCTCTTCCTCCTCCCCTCCTCTCGTCCCTTGTCTCAGTTCCTTCCCCTTTCTTTCCTTCTCTCAAGGCCTTTCTCCCTCCTCTTACAACCAAGAGGTTGTCACCGCCAATCTGATCCATCTGTGGGGTGTGAAATGTCACCAGCTCAGGTCCTGATTTGGTGCATGGAGGGAGGCATCTGTGTCCCTGGCCTGCCCCGCTCACCTTTGAACACCTGCAATTCCACTTCTGTCTTCTTATTTGCAACCTCACAGATGTAAGTCTTTGAGTCTTTCATCTCAAGTTTATTGATGATCAGAGGAAAGGATCCTTTATCCCACATAGATTTTCTTGAATCAACACGATCAGAAAGATCAGATTGGGCTGTGAGTAGAAGTCACAGAAAGGAAGTTGAGGTACCCTGGAGTCCTGGCATTCCTGCCAAGAATAGTGCCCTCAGCTCTGCTGGTCTGAGTTGCAGAGTGTTTCTCTTCATCCTAGTCAGAGAGCCCTGGTCTGGTGAGGAGGGGCCATCATATCCCTTTGCCTGGTGGGAATAAATGTCCCACTAGTTCAAAACTACATAAAATAATGTTTATTTAGAAATTACCCACTCTTATTTTTTTTTATTTTATGTGTATGTGTGTATTGCCTACATGTGTGTAAGTGCACTCGTGTCATGCAGTGTCTGCAGAGGTCAGAAGAGAGCTTTGGATCCCCTGGAACTGGAGTTACAGATGGTTGTTAACCACCATGTGGGTACTGGGAATCAAACCCAGGTCCTCTGCCGTCCCATACTTTGAAAAAGCAATTCAGAAGAGTATCTAAGAGAATGGGCAAATCTGAGGTAAGTTCACTGGGGAGAATGGTATTAAGCTAAGTCCTTAAAAAAATACAGGTAGGGGGCTGGAGAGATGGCTCAGCAGTTAAGAGCACTGACTGCTCTTCTAGAGGACCTGAGTTCCATTCCTATCCCCCACAAGGTGGCTAATAACTCCAGTTCCAGGGGATCCAACACCCTCTTCTGACCTCTGCAGGCATTGCATGACACAGATACACTTACATACATGCAGTCAATATACTCATACATATAAAATAAAAATATTAAAGAAGCCGGGCTAAAACACTGTTTTAGGTATGGGTTAAATTTAAAGAGTGCAGGA